GCTATATGTCTTCTAAACGCAGTATTAGCCTCTTGTGTTGTTTCTACCATACTGATGTCTTTGTGCTGCAAATATACTTCTGCAAACTAACAACACTGACCTTTAGAATAAACATCATAATTACCAGAGGTGAAAGTGGGCCGGTTCAGCATACCGGTAAGACCCAGCCACTTGTACCGGCCCTTACACGGCTGACGTTACACTTCCGCTGTGGTAGTGCTTTATGCTTTAATGTCGCTGCCCCCTTTAGCACCCTCCCCCGCCCCCCCCCCCCGCCATCAACGGCCCTGTTAGATGCTCCTGGCAGGGCTGCCGACAGTAGGGGAGCAAAATGTGCCCTGGGTTCCGGTGATTTACAAGGGCCTGGTTCTCCTGGCCACTGCAGCAGCAGCGAGGAAGGGCTGGCTGGTGGAATCTGGCCCCCCAGCACCGCACCTTCTGCTGGAGACCCCATCCCTTCTGGGGGCCACAAGCCCACACCACACACCTTGGCAATGGATGCTGGTGCAGTGCCCACTGGTAATCTCCGGCATTTACTTTCATCCTGGATAATTATACAAACATAAATAATGGCAATTTGGTATTCAATACCTTTAAGATGAGTGGTCCGCAGTTGTGGCCACCACTTTGTCTGGGATGAACAATTTTACTGTTCCAATCAGATGAGGATTTTCTAGTTAATTGTTTGATGAAGTTTCTGAAATTTTTAGAGAGTACATTAGCAGACTGCATAAATGAGCTTTGCTTCCCCCCCCCCCTCCCGGTTTATGGACAGATAAAAATCCATTCTCTCTTTTAATTAATTATGGAAATTACTTATTGCTCACACACACACACACACACTTGCTTTCATATTATTGTCTCACTTACACAATGTATCACCTGATTTGCTGTGACCCATGTTGATAACACATTCTCAATCATGCAACATGCTACTGTTTCGTGTCCACATTCTGTTAAGTCATTCCCCAGAGTCAAATCACACAAGTTCACTCAAAGTCTATTACTAGGCATATTCAGTACAAGTACATGCTGTTTCAAATTTTATTTGTAGCTAATAGGAAGATATTAGTCTCACAATTGTTACATTCCCTTCAAAAACAATTTCAATGGAACAGTTAATGTCCACTGTAAAAGTAAGTATCTAATAAATCACCTCCAATTTCTCAGGCATGTTCTTTCATATCTCATCTCATCACACAAGGGGTCAATTATTAATAATTCTTTTTTTTCTCCAATCGAGGCTGTGAGTTTAAATATATTCACAAATTATATTGGTAATGTGATTTCAAAACATTTTATAATGTTTTATCAAAAATTATGCAATTAACATTTTTGTTAATATCTCAGTAACACAAGAGAAAAGCATATTGTGAAATCATTGATCAATTAATTACAGAATGTATTCTTCCAAGTTACACTCACAACATAACTTGACAGTAGCATTTTATTTTTAACATTCACATTCCACTTTCATTTGCATGCACTGAACTCACTGAAAACCCGCTGCTACCATAGTTGGGTTACAAATCTCTTATTTATTATAACATTTACAGTACATTTATTGACCATAATCCACAACCGCAATACAAAACATCTTACCGCAAGAACCCAATGACCTGGTGTGTGGTAAGGAAGCAATAATATATCATTTTGAAGTAATTCACTCTGTATTTATTAAAAAAATAATTAGAAATGCAATTATAGTTTCCAGTGAAGCAAACAATGAAATGTACATTATACTGTATTTCCCAGTTTCATTACATGTATTATTAGACTACTCCTCCACATCAAACACACCATTGTATTTGCTGTTTCACACTGTTTAACTCACTGAATGAAATTGTGCTTTGCTCATGCTATGTATGAAAGTGTGTTAGCATTTACCTTCACTTTCATTTGTGGAGCTCTGCCTGAGAGAATGATTAGTAGAAACTACTGATGAGATGGCTTGTACCTGTTGACATTCAAAGTTATTAATGCATTAATAATTGTGGCATGTTAAGAACATAATGAATTTAATATAGACAGACATTCAAGGGATCCTTAGTGTTACAAATCAGATATGTATATATAAGAGAGTTCTATTAAAAAAAATGATTTGTAATCAATGTGCTCTGTCTTACTTAATGTAAAAACCAACTAAGCTGTTTGCATACTTGTGTTCAATTAATGGACCCACTGAACTGTACAGCAAAACTAATGTGGCCCTCTATTGTATGTCTGATATGCACCTCCAAATACATTTCAGTAAATGTTTGGCAGCAGTAAATACACAGAAATGTTGCAATTTCAGGTTTATTTTGATATTTCAAGGATATTTGGTCTTCAATATGTTGTGCCACATATTCATGTGATTGTTTACTTACTGAATCTATGTATACTTTCATGTACCATCACAGTAAGTAGCCTACCTTTCCATCTGCTTTCTCGACCACACAGCTCAAATATGCATCAATAACCTACAACACATGATGAAAGAAAAGGCACAATTTCAATAATATTTGATGAGTTAATCCCATTAACAAATACATGTTTAGTGTTACTTAAATGTACCTCATCACTTATCCAGCTTCTCGGTTTCAGGCAATGAAATGAGGAGCCATACAATTTTGTGTTTCTCACTTTGGCCTCCAGTCTGTGTGTTTGTCGGTCATTACAAATTTGACTAGGAAAAACATATTAACACATTACATGCATGGTAATACAGTTTCCTTTTTCTGTTTTACTACTGTGAATGCCACCAGTTTGTACATGAAAGCCTTTAACATACTTCATAAATGGAACTATGTTAATCTGTTTAAGAAATGTGCGGTAACCAATTTCTTTTCAGAATCCATTGCTTGTTTTCCACGTCCTCCATAAGCACGTCATCAAAAATGTCATCCGCATCACTTGTTTCAAAGAATGATACATCTTGCCCTATATACTCCTCTTCTTCCATTGCTGTGACCTCTATGTTTTTTAATGTGCTGTCTTGAGATACAGTACCAACCACTTTTCTAATTTCTTCTGTGGGTATTTCTGGTTCAGTGTCACCAACTGCAATTTCAGTTCTGATTTTTCCCTCCGATGTGCTTTCAGCAGCTAATGTTGGTGGCTCTTTTAATGGTTTTAAGTGTGTGCGATACTGTACATGGTTCCTAACTGTTTCCCTGAGATGGTTTCTAATTTCACTCTTACCCTCAACGGTCGTAATTTTGTATGGTCCCCGATAGTTCGATTCCAGTACTGCTCCTTTTCTTGTTCTCTTTCTAGCGTTCAGTAACAGAACAGAGTCACCAACAGCAAAGGTTATTTCCCCATATTTAGAATTCTCTTTTAGCATAATGTCTTTGTTGCTTTTCTTGTGCTTTAGAAATGTTGCTTAGGGCCAGTGCAATGTCAGTGTCATGTCTCGATTTCATATTGATGCTGTAGTCTTTGCAGAAATCTTCCCCAAGTGTATTCGGATCTGGGATCTTTGTAAAATAATGGAGAAGGGGGTGTATTTGTAAAATGAAGACATGGTTAATGCCATGTGTACATGAAAGGTGCTGGTAACATACACTTACCGTGTAATTCTGAGACTTCTTCTGGAAACCGTGGGTCATCACAAAACAGTCGAAACAGTGAAATTTTTGTTGCGTGTACTTTAGTCCACAAAGAAAACAAAATGGGGTCAAGTAATTTATCCCCATTACTCCCGTCGTCGTCAACCATCTTCCGCAATGCTCTGTAACACATGTAAATTGATTTGATTAAAAAAAAAAGGAACAAGTACAGTCTTGGTTGAAACATATCATACATAATCCAAGAGGTGTAATATATAATGAAAAAGACGTTCAAGGCAACACATTGATTTTGAAGATTTTTTGGTGAATTGCATCTTCTAGCATTGGACACTCTACTTGCCATTAGTTCTGTAATATTCCCACCCATTCACTTACCTTTTTATGGATTTATTAGCATTTTCAGCCAATCCATTGGTTTGTGGGTGGTACGGGCTGGTGAAGCTACATTCTATTCCCAATCTTTCACAAACATACTTGTTAAACTGAAAGAAAATAAGTTACACCATAAACTTACATATAGACTTGTGTTAAGGAATGTTCCTTTTCGTATTTGCCACTACTTTAATGTGTAATTAGCAACCGGAATAGCCCATATTTTCATATTTGTTTTGGAAACAAGTAGTTGTGTGTTTCTTTGTTAGATATGAAGACACCAAAAATAATGTTATAGCAACACTGACGGTGACCAAAAGCTGTTTATAAAAAAAAAAAAAGTTGGTGATTGTTTGAGATCAATGAGTGACCTGATAGTGAGTTTGACTACACAGTACAAATAACCAGAAAAAAAACCAGTCATTACCTTATTATTGAATTCCGAACCCTGATCTGTCAGTATCCGCTCTGGGCATCCACGTCGAACAATCAATTTGTACACGTTCTCTACCACCTCATATGCTGACTTACTTCTAAGTGGAAAGGCTTCCACCCATCTTGACAGATAATCTATGGCTGTCAGTATATACTGGTATCCATCCTTTGTTACTGGTAATGGTCCTATTAAATCCATTCCCACCAATTCCCAGATCCGAGTGACCTACATACAAGGGTATCAGTTACAGTCATACTACACATGTTTATTACTAAATGTTCTCAATAAACCCATATGTCATAAGCAGAGTACACAGTGTAATATGGTTACAACACCCATAGAATCAGAATGAAAGCCCACTTTTAAATACAGAAGAGAAAGAAAGAAAAACAAAAAAGTACAGGAATGGGTTATGGAAAACAATACAAGAGTAAAGCTGAAGACATATCCCCAGCCAGTGCAAAGGCGCATTAGAGGTCATTGCTGCACTATGCTGTGCCACTTTAAACGAGTCCAATGCGAACAAAAATATCAAAGCCTCATTGTATTGCAGAAATAACAATGGATAATGATAAACAATAATGTGTCTGATTACAAAATTCACCTTTATGCTTTTCAAGGTGATATCCATATTTAATTCCTTTCCCTGTTTCTGGCAAGTAAGACATCGTGCAACCTGTTTTTGATGGAAAAATATGATGACATGAACATTTCGTTATGGAAGTAGTATTGCAAGGGAATTGAGTTCACATTTGCACACCAAATATACTTATATTTCTTTTATACATTTTGAACTTCTATTTCAATTGTAAATAGCATTCTTCAGGATTTAGTTTCATTGCTTTACATACCCAATTGGCAATGTCTCTTGTCATCCCTGGCCAATATTATTTTGATGTCAGCACATTCCTTGTTTTGAATATTCCTAGATGTCCACCCAATGGACTGTCATGGTACTTTTCAAAGAGTTGTAGGGCTTCTTTCACGGTATGCACAACGACAACCTTTCTTCCTTTTGCTGAATGGAACAATGTCCCCTCTGTTGATCATAGAAGATGGAGCACGGAGGATGATTAAGGTTTATTGGGGCCCTGGGCCAGAGCAATTGTTGGGCCCCTACCCACCCTGTCCGCTGGCTGCACCACATATGGCCCTATCCCTTTAGTCCTCTTCCCCAGGATCTCTGCCATGTTCCACGTAGGCTCCCCAACATTTTGCCTGCCCCACAACTCCTTTGCTCATTTCCCACCCACCCCGCTCTTCCACACAGCCCCAGGACTGGAGAAGCTCTGTCCCTGTGTCACGGCCCCAGGGCTGTACCAGGGAGTGAGAGCACCTCCAGTCCCAGGGCTGTGGCAGGGGTTTGGATGCTGCGGTTCTTTAGGGGACCAGGAGCGGGATGCTGTGGATTCTCCTGTCCCACCAGGCACTTCTGCTGGAGAGGGGTTTGGGCATAGGGGCTTCCCATGCTGCCACGTGGCTTCTGCCAGGGCTGGGGTGGGGGCAACGTGTTGCACTTAAGATATAACTGGTTATTTGCAGAGCCATTCATTAATTATAAGGCATATGCCTATCAAAGACATCTATATACAGTATGGTTCATAATCCCTTGAGTACAAGGATTACATTTCAGTGTATAGTTAGAAATTTTTGCTCATTGAACATATAGTGATTGTTGGTGGTGCTTGCAGCAGACGATAACATACTTAAGAAATGAAGCAAAGTCATGGGGTTTTTTTGGTAAAATTTATACTCATTTCTCATATAACTGCAAAGCACACTGCATTTCTTGCACCACTGGCATAGATAGCAAGGGAGATTTTCTGGAAAATTTCATTAAAACTAGAGATCTCAATTCCGGTCCCATTGAAGGTAAGGTTATAACTCCAAATAATCCCAGTGTTGGGACATCAGGACCATCATAGACAGGCTGAAGTTTCCTGTGTAATGTGTCAGTATTATCTTAAGTAAAGTATTTCTTGCCTTCCAAAGAAAAGTTGACAGCATATCGACGCAGGTTCAGTCTGCCTGCTTTATTCATTCCTTCAGGATATGTGCTACTCCTTAGGTATGCCAAAACATTTGCAATTTTCTTGTCAAAAGATTTCCCTGAGAATTGTTTACAAGAGAAAACAGTTATTTAAGTGCAATGTCAATCAAAAAAGAAAACATAAGCACCTTTGCTTGAAGATAATGGGTTCTGAAAACAAATGAATAATTAATAATATATGGGGATATACCTATCTCATAGAACTGGAAGGGACCTTGAGTCCAGTCCCCTGCCTTCACTAGCAGCACGAAGTACTGTACCTGACAGTTTCTCCCCCTTGCTTTTTTTCCCCCTCTGATCCCTAAATGGCCCCCTTAAGGATTGGGCTCACAACCCTGGGTTTAGCAGACCAATGCTCAAACCACTGAGCTATCCCTCTCCCCCATGGGAACACATGGAAACATTCTACTTACTTTCCATTATGTGTGTTGTAGAGTTAATTTTTTGGTTGGTGCAAGTTTTTGGGAGAAAATAGTTTTCTGAAACTCTGAAGAATCTGAAATAGAGAAACACCTATAACATACACATATCAGTATCACCTCATTCTCAGGTATGCCTTTAATCATTCATTTTACTGTAATTTAATGAATGAATCCTAACATAATGTTAGTCCATTATCTAACAAATTAGATCCCACCACCTGAATTGTTTTTCACCAGCAAAATAACTTATACATCAGCCAAAGAAAATCAAAAAACCAGACACAGACCACACAGATAAACAATAGAGAAATGGGGAGTGTGACAGGGTCGTTAGCTCACCGCTGCGGCGCCTCCTCCTGGTCATCTTGGGGGAATTAGTTTGATCCAATAGAGCGCCCTCTTCTCAGTAGAGCGTCCCGCCTGTCATCTCGCCTTTGTGGGGTGCACAGACTTGCATTGCTCCCAACGTTCAGCATCCTCTTCTGGAAGACTGTCCTCCAACAGTGTCCCTTTGTCCATTCACACCCCCTTCCAGGGGGGGGGGGGGGAGGGGAATAAACAAAGCCCCACACCTTCAAGCCTGATTCTTACAGTCCAGAACCTGGCGTGGTTCTGGCCAGCCACTCCCTGCAGCCTATGGCTGTGCGTAGGGCACCACCGCAAACAAAGGGGGCAAAACAGGGGGGGACTCAGGCCCACCCACTACTCTGAGTCCCGGTCCAGAGCCCTCTGGTGACAGTCTTGCTGTCCTCCTTCTCCTTCCTCCTCTGGACCACTTCCCCAACGGCCCTCCTCTACGCTGGGCCTCCTCTTCCCAGGCCTGCCGCCTGGCAGGCTATGGAGTAGGGACTTCTCCTACTCTCTCAAGCTAGCCTGCACTGCGCTGTCCACAGTGCTGGCCTCCCAGCTCTGGAGACAGACAGACAGACCTTCCCCTCTGAAGGCCTGGGACAGACTGACTGCTCTTGCTCTGGGCAGTCTTTTATATGGCTAAGCCGGGCCCTGATTGGCTGGCCCCAATCTGCCTTCTGATTGGCTCCCAGTAAGCCCTTTCCTGATTGGCCACGCGTCTATGCAGGCGCCTAGGCCTGCCGCAGCCCACTCTCTCTGGGTGTGGGGCAGTTGCCCCACCACAGGGAGCAATAAATAAATAAATCACCATGATTAAAGGCATGCAAACCATTTAAGAAATGACTATACCGTTATTTTAAAGATTCCCTACTCCACAGCAACTAATCAACAATTAACATGTGATTATGGTCACATGCTGCCTGCATTTGTTCAACAATTTGTGACCAGCTTTGCACAATACTTTGGAGTACTTTCATTTATTAGGGTTACTCTTCTGGAGGGGGGCGGGCTGTGTGATTCTATCAATGTACTGCTATTGTGCCCAATTGAATGAGTCAAACAGCACTTTCAAGCTGGCACCCTTATTTATCCCAGATTTAGCATGTCCCTATCCCCACTCTTACATCACAATTGTACTGGTAGTAACCCACTTGATGAGCAAACCCAAGAGTACTTTTGGGCGCTGCAGGGATCTGTAGCTTAGGAAAAAGAAGCATTGCTGCAGAATAAATGTGGAAGAGACAAACAGAAGAGTAAAGTTATTTATGGACTAATAGTGATAACTACTCAAAGGAGAGCCTAAACAAAATAAGTGACATTATTCAAGGTTAATACCTGAGGTAGAAAAGGAAACAGAGAGGGAAAATGAGGGATCTAACCCACTCCAGGAAGCTTGAACCCGTGAGGCTTCCCAGCTGATGATCATAGCTCAGAGTCTTGGAGTAGATGAAACCACAGTGGAAGTCAGGCAGAATTTGGGTCTATGCACGCTGTCATGGACTCACAGGTCGTGCCCACTCTTGGCCCCGTGCGGTCCGTGGGGGGTGCCTCTTTCAATGAGACAGCCCTTCTCGGGGGTTCACTCTCTCTCGGAGTCAGGCCCCTCCACCTCCTGGAGCCGCACCTCCCTCAGCCCAGCACACCCCAGTCTCTCTGCATCCAGGTTGGCTCTGCTTGCTTCACCTCTCCAGCCCAGAGCCCCCCTGCTCCCAGCTGTCCCCGCCTCTGTCCATTGTCTTCTCTCCAGATAAACAGGGTCCTAAACCGGGGCCTCCTCTCCTCGCTTCTGTCCTCTGGCTGGAACTGGCTGGTTAGGTCACTGGGTCCT